AGGTTCAATCCCCAGTTGGGGCGGGTGTGGGAGGCAGCTGATCAATATTTCTCTCTCACCTCAATGTTTCTCTATTCTCTCTCTCTCTCTCTCTCTCTCTCTCTCTCTCTCTCTCTCTCTCTCTCCATTTTTCCCCCCTCTTTCTCTCCTTCTCCCTTCCTCTCTCCCTAAAATCAATAAACATATCCTGGGGTGAAGATTAATATATATATATTTCGGTGGGGAAGAAGTGATCAACCATGCCACATGCTGCAGAGAAATAGAACATGTGTTAAGGAGTACTATCAAGTATTTTTATAGAATGTCCCTAATTGTGATTGGTCTGAAGGTTTTTTTAAAAATCATGATAAGGTTGGGATTATGAGTTTGGGGGAGGAAGACTACAGAGGCAAAATGCTATTCTCATCACAATCTATCAAGTATATCATATATGCTATTAGCATGACTTTGTACTGTTGATGTTAATTCTTCTCATCTGACTGAGATAGCTTTGTCAGGTTTGTCCACTGTAAAGTTACTCATTTCCGTACCTTACTTTCAGGAAAAAGTCACTTATGCACAGCCCACACTTAAAGAGAAGAGCATTATACTCTACCTTTTTGAGGGCACACTTTTTTGAATACTTCTGCACAGGAAGCACATTTGTCTATGTCCCCCAATTACTTATTTATTCAAGTATTTGTTTATATCAGCATGGATTTATGAATATTTCTTTTATACTTGGTTATAATCCAATACTACTTCATTTCTTTGCTCAAATTGTTTCATCTTTGGCCATTAGGAGCTCCTTCAGTTGGCTGCTGTGTCCCTTTGACATACCACAATCGTTGCAGAGTTGTTTGAACTCTTCCTTATTTTCTGGCACTAGAAGATGCTCCAGGCTCAACATATATATATTTCCTGCCCCAGTCCTTAAGTTAGTCATTTCTCCAGTGAGTCCTGATTTGTAAAAATTTGAGAATATTAGCAACCAAGATCTGAGCACTAGGTACCCAAGTGTTCTTTTATTTTCCATAGATAGCATTGATAACGTTTTTTAAAATCCTCACTTGAGGATATATGTTTTTATTGATTTTAGAGAAAGAGGAAGGGAGAGAGTCAGAGAGGGAAAGAGAGAGAGAGAGAGAGAGAGAGAGAGAGAGAGAGAGAGAGAGAGAGAGAGAGAGAGAAACATCAATGTAAGAGAGAAACATCGGTTCGTTGCCTCCTATATGTGCCATGACTGGGAATCGAATCCACAACCTGGATATGTGCTCTGATCAGGAATTGAACCACATTCTTTTTTTAAATATTTTTATTGATTTCAGAGAGGAAGGGAGAGAGAGATAGAAACATCAGTGATGAGAATCATTGAATAGCTGCCTCCTGCACGACCCTACTGGGGATCGAGCCTGCAACCCAGGCATGTGCCCTTAACTGGAACTGAACCCGGGACCCCTCAGTCCACAGGCTGACACTCTATCTATTGAGCCAAACCAGCTAGGGCTGAACCCACATTCTTTTTTTTTTTTTAATTAAATCTTTATTGTTCAGATTATTACATTTGTTCCTCTTTTTTTCCCCCATAACTCCCCTCCTCCCAGTTCCCGCCCCACCCTCTGCACTCACTCCCCACCCACTGTCCTCATCCATAGGTGCACCATTTTTGTCCAGTCTCTTCCCGCATCTCCCACACCCCTTTCCCCCCCAAGAATAGTCAGTCCATTCCCTTTCTATGTCCCTGATTCTATTATAATCACCAGTTCATTCTGTTCATCAGATTATTTATTCACTTGATTCTTAGATTCACTTGTTGATAGATGCATATTTGTTGTTCATAATTTGTATCTTTACCTTTTTCTTCCTCTTCCTCTTCTTAAAGGATACCTTTCAGCATTTCATATAATCCTGGTTTGGTGGTGATGAACTCCTTTAGCTTTTCCTTATCTGTGAAGCTCTTTATCTGACCTTCAATTCTGAATGACAGCTTTGCTGGATAAAGTAATCTTGGTTGTAGGTTCTTGGTATTCATCACTTTGAATATTTCTTGCCACTCCCTCTGGCCTGCAAAGTTTCTGTTGAGAAATCAGCTGACAGTCGTATGGGTATTCCCTTGTAGGTAACTGAGTTTCTTTCTCTTGCTGCTTTTAAGATTCTCTCTTTGTCTTTTGCTCTTGGCATTTTAATTATGATGTGTCTTGGTGTGGTCCTCTTTGGATTCCTTTTGTTTGGGGTTCTCCGCGCTTCTTGGACCTGTAAGTCCATTTCTTTCACGAGGTGGGGGAAGTTTTCTGTCATTATTTCTTCAAATAGGTTTTCAATATCTTGCTCTCTCTCATCTTCTGGCACCCCTATAATTCTGATGTTGGTACGCTTGAAGCTGTCCCAGAGGCTCCTTACACTATCCTCGCATTTTTGGATTCTTTTTTCATTCCGCCCCTCTGGTTGGGTGTTTTTTGCTTCCTTGCATTTCAAATCATTGACTTGATTCTTGCGCTCCTCTGGTCTGCTGTTGGGAGTCTGTATAGTATTCTTTATTTCAGTCCGTGTATGCTTAATTTCTAGTTGGTTCCCCATCATAACATCGAGGGTCTCATTAGTTTTCTTGTAGATCTCATTAAGTTTATCGGCAGCTTCTAAACAGTTCTTGAGAGACCTTAAAAGTGTGGTTCTGAACTCTATATCTTCCATTGACAATTTTGTCCTGTTTCTTTGTCTCCGCATTTTGTTATGCTTTCTTGGTGCACTCCCTAGTGGTCTTTGTGTGCAGTCTTGTAGTTAAGCCTTGATTGTTGTAGCTAATACCAGGGAGGGTTTGACCTCCAGGCCAAGTGGCTGTGAGAATCAGCTGTGTCTGCAGTGAGAGAACTTCTGTCCTCTAGGGAGGTGCTAATCTGGCGTTTGCCTGAGGCTATCCGGCAAATGCCTCTGTGCAGGGCTTGGGCGGGGCGGGTCGCACAGGATCAACAGGGTGGGCCGGAGAGAGCAGTTATGGCGGCTCTCAGTCCTGTCCCCAGGGGCTCTGCCTCTCTGAGTCCCAGCACCCGCTGCAAACCTCGGAGAGAAAGCTGCACTCACTCTGACTGAAGCCAGACAGTCCCGCTTCTCCTGTTTGAGTCTGGGTCCCTAAAGACTCGCCCGTATCTGGAGCTCAGAGTCTGCCTACTCCCTCCCGATTGAAAACGCCAACCGCGCCCTCCGCCGCCAGCCCACTCCGCGCACTCCGCACCTCAGAATTTGACTTCAGCACTGCGCCTCCTCTGAGTGTCCATATGCGTTTCTCTTTCCTCCTAGTTGTAGGACTTCCACTCAGCCAGCGTTCCTGTGGTTCTGGGTGATGTCCATTCCGTCTTTTAGTTTCACTTTTGAAGTAGTTGTCCAAGGCAGCAAACTCCGGCGTTAACCTATGCCGCCATCTTCTGAACCCACATTCTTTATGGTGTATGAAACGACAGTCCAACCAACTGAGCCACTTGACCAGGGCTATAACATTCTTTTTATTTTCTTTAATTTCTCTGCTGTGGGGGCATTAATTATAATTCTTTTATTTTATTTTATTTTTTTTTCTTCCTCCTCCTCCTCCTCCCTCCTCCTCCTCCTCCTCCTCCTCTCTTCCTCCTCCTCCCCCTCCTTAATTATAATTCTTTTAGAGACTCCTTACATTTATTCTATTAATGCTTTTCCTTGGGTATTATTAATTATTGGATTGGTTGAATTTAGTCATGGAGATAATTTTCTTTAGTCATGATTCTTATGTGCGTGCTTACATTTGCATTTGGGAATCCCTGTTTGCTCCTTTGTGGACCGAGTTTTTGTTTTCTGTAGCCTACTGCCAGTGATTGTGGCTAAGAGGTAAGATGTGCTGTCAGTGAAGTCTGTCAGCAATTTATTTTCTCTGTGTGTGGAGACATTATCCTGCCTCTTTATCCCAAACCACTATGTCCTAATGCAAGGATGAATCCGTATCTACATTCTTTAAACTTGGGATGCCTCAAAGCTGCTCTCAAATTTCACAGTGTATGTTTTTCTCTTTTATATTTTTAGTCGCATATTTTCTTCAATCATTCTGCTCCCACCCACCTTACATTTTTCAGAGACCCTCAAAATTTCTGCCTACTGAAGGACTCCTTCATGATTGCCAGCATTCTCTTTTTAAAAAAATATATCTTACTGATTTTTTACAGAGAGGAAGGGAGATTGATAGAAAGTTAGAAACATCGATGAGAGAGAAACATCGATCAGCTGCCTCCTGCACACCTCCTACTGCCCGCAACCAAGGTACATGCCCTTGACCGGAATTGAACCTGGGACCCTTCAGTCTGCAGGCCGATGCTCTATCCACTGAGCCAAACCAGTTAGGGCAGTGGTCGGCAAACTGCGGCTTGCAGGCCACGTGTGGCTCTTTGGCCCCTTGAGTGTGGCTCTTCCACAAAATACCAGCTTCTGCGCATGGGCCATGAAGTTTCAACCGCACTGTACCCACGCGCCCGCATGTACTATTTTGTGGAAGAGCCACACTCGAGGGGCCAAAGAGCCGCATGTGGCTCGCGAGCCGCAGTTTGCCAACCACTGGTCTAGGGACAGACATGTAACCTGATTAGGGTCAATGAAATGTAAAGGAAAGTGTTGGAGCAAGGATCTGGGATCTTTTCTCCAAGGATAATAAAACAGAATCTCAAGAGGAGAAATCCTCTTTGTTCTCAACCCTTTTCTCCTGTAACGAAGAGATGTCTGGAGCTGCAATAGCTGTTTTATGATCCTGAGGTATAAGCACAAGAAAATGAATGAAGAATAATGAAACAGGCGCGGTACTCAATGAAAAACAGAGTGGCTGAATGATTTCTGATCAAGTCAACAATAAATGTCCTTACCGTTATAGTCACTATTGTCTGACTTCCTGTTACTTTCAACTGTGTTTGAATACACCATTTAAAGAGATATTTTCCCCTATTAATATTCTAAACTAGCATATATTAAAATCTACTTCTAATATTTCTTATATTTCACTTTTTTCCCCTCAGAATCAAAACTGGAGCAGCCAGGGATCTCAACTGTAAAGGAATCTAACATTGAAATCTCAAAGAATGTTGTAATTAGAGAACCTGCAAGTGTGGTTTTCAATGTAGATCAAACTGTACTGGATTCAAAGCTAGATCTACCATGGAAGAAAAATCTTTTTGAACGAGTGGAGGCAAGAGCTCAAGCAATGCAGCAGAAAATATTAGATAAGGATAAACTGAAGAAAGAACTAGAAAAAAAAGCTGAGAAAAAAATCCCTAAGGAAACTTTGGCCAAAGAGTGGTTTAATATTGACAACATGACTCTGAATACTCGTGCATATTTGCTTGACAAACTTCTACCCACCTTAGTGGTTGGAATGGAAAATATGTTAATGCAAGTGGATAAAAAGAAGCTTTTGTCAGAAGCTGATATTCCAACTAAGTTTGATCCAATTATTTATTTGGGGGAATATTTAATGAGAAATAATCCTCTTTATATCAAAGACGCAGGAATGTCTGGTTATCAGAGGGAGATGAAAAATGTCACAGAAAATCTGAAGATACATATTACCAACACTATCTGCAACAGGTACAATTTGTTATATTTTCAGTTAATGATATAGCTCCTTACACGGAAAAGTACATAGAACAATAATATACTCATACAAATTTAAAAGGACTTCAAATAAGGCAGCTCTCTCTATGGAGCATGCCTGAGCCTGTCTCTTTCTCTCCTCTTTCTCTTTTCTTCTTCCTCTTCCTCTTCCTCTTCTTCTTCCTCCTCTTCCTCTTCCTCTTCTTCCTCTTCTTCCTCCCTTCCTCCTCTTCTTCCTTCCTCTCTTCTCTCTCTCTCTCTCTCTCTCTCTCTCTCTCTCTCTCTCTCTCTCTCTCTCTCTCTCTCTCCCCTAAATCCCAAAGGCCCTTCTTTTGTTGTAATTTGTTTCTTGAGCCCATTTCTTGTACAGCTCACTTCTATTTTAAAAAGTATTTATTGAGCTACTACTATGTGCTTCATTATGAGGCACGAATGAAGACTTATGAAGTGTATTTAATCAGTTTCTTGTATTCACAGATTTACTTATCTCACTAGGACCCCAAATGTCCTTCTCTCTTCTGTGGAAAGTAAACCACACGAGTTGAGAGTAGGGACTTATTCAAATTTTAACCTTTCAGATAAGCAACATATTCACCTGGTTCAATAGCCAAAATATATAGTTATACAATGAAAAGTTTACCATTCTTATCCTCCATGTACACAGTATTCTACCTCTGCCTTAAATAACTTCTTTTTTTAGTTTTCAATGGATCCTTCCAAAGTCCCTTTATACATACATAAGCAAATGCAAATGTGGATACTTGATTTTCTTTCTTTTATATATGAAAATATGTGAATAAGTTACATTTTCCTCTGTTTTTCACCTGCCATTTATCTTTCATCATGAAGATGAGTTTTTTATTTCTACATGGTTGAGTTTGCTTACTTTTATTTTATGGCTTTCATTTTTGAGTCACTGTTGTATTTCAGATATTAAAATAATTATCCTATCTTTTCTTATGAAATTATATTTTAATTTTAAATATTGACCCATTTGGAACTTATCTTAAGGTAAGATGTAAGATATGGATCCAACTTCATCATTTTCCAAATGGCTATGTAGTGATCCCAATAATAATTATTGAATAGTCTATCCTTGCCCCACTGTTTATAATGAAACTTTATTACTAAATTCCTATATATATTTTGTAGTATTTTTGGACTTTTCTGTCCTATTCCATTGGTCTATCTCCCTTTTTATGCACCAGCACTCTGCTTTAGTTATTGAGACTTTTGAGTATATTTCAATGAGTCTGACTGCTGGTCTCCATTATTTGTTATTTTTTCTGATCACTCCTGTCTGTTCTTGTGTGTGTTTACTTTTTAATATGAACTGTAGAATTGATTCATCTACTTAAAAGGGGGGGGGGACACCAAAAAAAACGTTATAGGAATTTTTGTTGAAATCTGATTAAATTTATTTATTAACTTGGAAAAAATCGACACCTCTAATAATGACAAGTGTTTCTATTTGAGAACATATCTTTCCATTTGCTCATCATATTTTGTATCCATCAGTGTTGTCTTAAAATTTTTTATAAAGGTTTGCATCTTTTATTAGTTTTAATACTAGTTATTTTATAATTTTTTGTTGCCATTATGAGACTTTTTCTGTTACACTTCCTATCTAGATATACTTTGAATACACAAAAACTATTAATTTCTGTATATTTTTGTACTTTACTACCTCTTTGAGTTCTTTTATTGTTTATACTAATTTTTAATTGATTCCTTGGATTTTCTAGGGAGGCAACCATACTGTCTACAAGCAATAAGAGTTTTGTTCTTCCTTTTCAATTTTTGTATTTCTAGCATCTTTCTCTTGCCTAATTGCATTGGCTAGTACCTCCAATATGAGAGTGGTGATATGGGCATACTTGTTTTGCTTATGACTTTAAGTAGAAATGACTCTTTTATTAATTACTGTTTCACCAAACACACACATATATATATAACTACCATAACTTGACTCCATTTGATCTGAAAAAGGTATATTTTATCACATTAGGGAAAATTCACCTAATTTCTATCTTATAAAGTGATTTTTAAAAATCAAGAATGATTGTTGATTTTGTCAAATGCCTTTTCAACACCTATGTAGATGATCATTTGACTTTCAGCCTGGATTCATTAATCATGAACTTTATTAGGAGATTTACTAATTTTGAACTATTTTGTAATTCCTAAAACAAAGCCTACTTTGTTGCTATATATTTGGTTACATTGAAACATACTTTCTACTGTTAAGACAGAATAAATGTTTAATTCTTTCCTTTTAATTACAGATTTTCATAGTTTTCTTCTTTCTTTCTTTTTCTTTCTCTTTCTTTCTTCTTTCTTTCTTTCTTTCTTTCTTTCTTTCTTTCTTTCTCTCTCTCTCTCTCTCTCTCTCTCTCTCTCTCTCTCTCTCTCTCTCTCTCTCTCTCTCTCTCTCTCTCTCTCTCTCTCTCTCTCTCTCTCTCTCTCTCTCTCTCTCTCTCTCTCTCTTTCTTTCTTTCTTTCTTTCTTTCTCTCATCAATAGTCACCTCCAGTGGCAACAAATAAAATGTTTTTCTTATGTGGGGGAAAGTTATTTTTAGTATCATTATGAACACATGGATTTTAATATATAGCCCAAGTATTTTAATATATTATACGCATTTTTCTTTTTGATGCTCAACTTGACCCAATTTTGGCACCTGTGTTTTTCTGACATTGTCTTTGAAAGCTTCATGATTTTTTAAGGATTCTTAGTTCATTTTGGTGAAGATCATTCATTGAAGAGCTAGAAACGCTCATAAGTATTGTATTGTCATTGTTTCTAGGCTCTTTCATGACTAAAATATAATTTTAAAATATTAATAATTTCATGTCAAATATGTTTCAGGGTTTTTACCTAATTCCTTGATTTTATATTTGTATCTCTTTTTTTCCCCTCACACTGAAAATCTTGGTTCCTAACAAGATTGATAGAACTACTTGTTTGCTTTATCTTATAATTTATATAAAATAGCTTCAAAATAATAATACCAATAAGCCTACTAATAATAGAATTAGATTTTATATTTATTTTCAGCCTTGTGGGCCAGAGAATATATCCTAGTAAGTATGTGTACGTAAAAAATAAAACCATTAAAAAACTAGAAGAAACCAGGGATTAAATTCCTTTATAACCAGAGAAAAGCCTTTGAATCATGAAAATACTGATAAATTTGATTGCATAAAAATTAAAAGCTTTTTGCTGGAAAATTGAGTCGACTACTCAATTCTGCTTTTAGTCTACAAAAATAGCCATACAATATTTAAATGAATAAGCATGGCTGTGTTCTAATAAAGCTTTATTTATGGACCAGGCTGGTGTTGCTCAGTGGTAGAGCATCAGCTGCACAATTCAGGTCATGGGTTTGATTCCTGATCAAGGACATGTGCCTGAGGTGCAGGTCTCACCTCTCTCTCTATCTGTCTGTCTCTCTCTTTCTCTCTCTATCTCCCTTCCACTCTCTCAAAAAATCAATGGAAAAAATATCCTTGGGTGAGGATTAACATAAAAAACCAAAGTCTATTTATGGATACTAAAATGTTAATGTCTTGAATTTCTATATGCCACAATCTATTATTATTATTGTTATTTTAAAAAACACTTTAAAATATAACAATCTTGGCTTCTGAGTTGTGCAAAACAAGACAGCAGGCCAGATTTGACCCCCAAATTGTAGTTTGCTGATCCTTGGTCTAGTTAATATCTTTTAAGTTTCTTCCAAATCTAAAAACAAACAAACAATTAAGACACTTGTAATCTCTTCCTGAATCTCCACATTTACCTTTGAATGTATTCTGGCATGGTTACTTATACTTAAATTTATAAAGGAACCTAAAATTCTTTGTGACTTGTTTTGTGTCCTTCCTGTGGTAAGCAACAAATTAGAAACTTTAAAATGATAAATTTTTTGGAATTAGGTACGTCTGTTCCTCTGGAATGAAGTAAGAGATATTTACAGACCTCTTGTTTTACTTTATGTAGAGACATGAAATTTTTGTTTTCAGTCGAAACAGTCTTTCTCAGAGAATGGTTGCCTACCAAAGACATCAGAATTATCTGGGTGATTGGTTAAAAGTAAAGATTTCTATCGTATTCCTCAAATCTTCTGAATCAGAAACCCTAGGAATGCATTTAAAACAAGTTCTACTGGAGATTATATGAACACTAAATTTTCAAGATCAATCATTTAGTGAAACAAGTTAAGGGAGTTTTAGTACTAGCGAAAAGTTCCAACAACAGAAGGAAGCAGTATCATCAAATTTAATAAACAGCTTAAAGAACACTTGTGTTCACCATCTGTTCTTGCAGAACAATAGATTAGATTTGTATTTAGTTCTGTTTCCACTAAAAAAAACAACTTTAGCCGAAACCGGTTTGGCTCGGTGGATAGAGCGTCGGCTTGTGGACTGAAAGGTCCCAGGTTCGATTCCGGTCAAGGGCATGTACCTGGGTTGCGGGCACATCCCCAGTAGGAGATGTGCAGGAGGCAGCTGATCAATGTTCCTCTCTCATCGATGTTTCTAACTCTCTATCTCTCTCCCTTCCTCTCTGTAAAAAATCAATAAAATATATATATAAAAAAAAAACAACAACAAAAGAAAAACAACTTTAAATTTGGGAATTGGTGTCAAGGCTGTAAATCAATATATTAACAAATCCTTTGTCCTGTTAGGGCTGTGTAAATCTCATTCAGTACATAAAACTAGGCATTTTTCAACATTTATAGTAAGGGTAGTAATAGGCATAGTAGGACTTTGGTCTAGACTCGATTGCCAATCAATAGCATGACACAAGAAAATTAGTTCATTTCATTGGTGTTTCTTGAACGAGGAATTTGATATTTAGGGTCATTTGAGGTTTGATAAGAGCCCTAGTTTCTATTGAGCACTATGTTGTAGGAATTTCATGAAAGAGTTAAAATAATCAACGATCCTCTTTTTTTTTTTTTTTTGCCTGGATTGTCAGGATCAGGGC